ATTGTCCTACTGTTCTTACAGTTTGGAAGTTTTTCCTGAGATTTAATCTAAATCTGCTATGCTCTAGTTTGAACCCATTGCCTCTTGTCCTGGCCTCTGTGGCAAGAGATAACAACTTTTCTCTGTCTTTTTTATGTAGCCTTTCAAGTATTTGAAGACCACTGTCATGTCACCCCTTAATCTCCTTAAGCTTGATATGCTTGATTTTTACTCCTTTGAAAATGAGCAAGAGTCGAAAATGGGAAAGAGAGAATATATTGCATTTACACCTGATAAAATTATTTGATTTATGGAAATATATTTTAAAAAATCTGTCTGGTTCTAGACAGTGTGACAATATTTTAAAAAGACACCATTTAATACAACAAAAATATAACTCCAGCAGTTAACTCAGCCCCCACGTAAATCAGCCATTAGGAAGGAAAAAGGTGACAGAGAAGTTAAAGGAGTAATGCAAATTTGCACATGCATCCAGATGTAATTTGAACTGTTGTGACTAGAAATTGAGTAAAACATTTTTAAAGCTTGGGTGCCTAAATCTTAGCACCTAAGTAAAAGTGGCCTGATTTTCAGAGGTGCAGAGCACCTGCAGATCCCATTAATTTTAATTGGAGTTTCTATGAATTCAATTTGGAAGCATGCTCTAAGGAATCTGGGTAGTGAAGAAAGGAGAGAGGATGCAGTGACTCTCATCTGCCCCCAATGTACATATGTAGGAGGTGGCTAAATTGCTGATGCCTGTGCTCCTGCATAATAAGAGGGGGTCTTGCTGTTTAATGGGTACTCAGGAGATACATACATCCTGTGTGACTTTGGCCATGACAGTCAATTTCTCTGTGCCTCAGTTCCCCATCTGTGAAATGGGGATAAATGTATCAATATTTGGGAGATGTCAGATACTATGGTGTTGGAGGCCGTATAAGTACCTGGACAAATAGGGGCCCATATATGTAAGTACTGGAAGGATAAAATGTTGGGCTAACCATTGTTCCAGTGTCAAAATGCCAATTAAAGTTAATGGACTGTTAAATGTTTGGATACTAGTGAACAGTAAGTGTTGGAAGATAAAAATAATTTGTCCATCAAATCAAATGTCTCATATTTTTCTATGAACTCTGCCTCTTTTTGGTGGTCTGGTCCACATTCCTCTCAAATAATTTTATAGGTCTCAGAGAGCTCAATTTGGTCAGACTGTAATATTAAGCAAGTGATATGATTTAAACATCTCAACTTAAACTCTTAGGAAAATGTACAAATGCATGGTCATACGCAACCCTCAGTCAGAACTAGTTCCCAACAGATACTGTGATCTGATTTGTTGCAATTGTTTGTAGGCATCCATCTCACTAATCAAAAATGAAAGTGTCTATGATCAATCTCCAAAGTTATAAACAGACATATGCAAGGACACCAACCAACCAACTAGCCTATGATCTCATGTATTTTTCATCCATCCATCAGGGTGTCCATTAGTTCATTTGGTTTCCTCATTGCTTAGATCCAGACAACTTATTCTAATTTACAACTAGTTGTACTGGTCTAATTGTCAGGATATAAATCCTCCTCTGTCTGGGAGTCAGTTTAATTGCAAATGAATCTTTACATTGTCAGATTTTCTATGTTATCAATGTCTCTACCACACTTCCACAGCACTGCACCAAACTTTTACTGCAAGTTTGTACATCCAAAAGGATACAACAACCCTTTGTTTGACACATTACAATAAAATAAAATAAATAATATAATCACAATAATGACTGGATATGTTTGAGCATGATTCTATCTCTACAAGTGACTATTAGCCAAGTCTTGGGACTGAACCTATGTATGTCCCATTAAATGTTACATGGTTGCTGCTCTATTATTATAATAATAATATGACAGGAATTTTGCTTGCTGTGTGCACAAATACTCTAAAAATAGAAACAGGTTTGGTAAGAAAAGCAAGAGCAATTTTCAAATACTGATTTTAAATGCTATATTTTAAAATAATTCCAACAACTCCTATGTGAACTGACAAACTACTGGAAAAGAATAATTCAGATGGTGAAGTTTATAGGTAAAGAGGTTATTTCTTGAGTCCGTGCACAGAAAATTGTGAGAGTAAATCTTCTTAATTGTAATGCTAGTTAAGTGCCTATCTTCCCTGCACAGTGAGGGGAGAATAAACCCAAGGATATAATTTCTATGAATCTAATGAATGATTTAGCATGAAATCCTTTTATCTAAAAAATACCTTACTTACCAGAATGTTAATTTAATTAGTAAAATTTTGCTGCTGAGAGTTGCCTAAATATAATATATTTGTTCTCAGATATGGTATGATATTTCTAACATTAATTATATCATGATATTCCCTTTCTTGTTCTAAACATTTAGTAAGACTTGTACTACTACATCATATATAATAGGAGTGCAGTGGCTGTTGCTTAGGTAACAAGATGAATAAATGCAGGTCAGAATGTGCTTTCGGAAAAACAAAAGCAGAAATATGGTACAGAATGAAGAACAGATATGTCTAACTGATTTTTCATTGCATTAAAACAATAATGTTGTTCAAAAGCAGACAGCCAACCGATTTTAGCCAAGTCTACAACTGAATAAATAAGTTTACATAAAGTAGATGAATATGTAAACAATTTTGATTAAAATAAACAATTTTCTGATATTTTAGAAAAATGTAACACTCCACATTTAAGGTTAATAGATATCTCATTTTTCCTATTACCCTAACAGACCTTTATTCTCCAATTTTAATATCTACATTCCAGGTTTAATTTTCCTCTATAATTTTGGATAGAAAGGAAAGTATTTTAGTGACAATAAACATTTTTTGAATTATGCCAGGAGAAACCTGTTACATTATGTAATGATGATGTTTGCAAAATAATAACATATAAACCAGCAAATTATGATTTTATGATCACTTTTTTGCTGCAATAAAATATTTGATATATTGTGGCCCAAACTAGAGCATATCAAATTATTGTAAATACTGAAAAGTTATTATATCATTCTTGTTTCATTACAACATTATTTCACAGCAATATGTTTAATTATTTAATTCAATGTAGGGTTCTAATCTCTTATTCATACATGCACCGAACTCCAAATAACATCACTGGAAATTGTATGTTTTAACTGTAATATATATTCAAGAAGAAATTAAATTAGAAAAGAACTAGTAGACTAAGCTGACCAGAATGCTGTGGTTACCGTACAAACACCCATGCCATAACTTAACTCACATGGCACCTGAAAAAGTTTGGTTTGGGTATTTACTAAAAGAACTTCATGCTGAAATAGATACAGTTACATAATTATGTCAATGAGCAATTTAGGACTTGCCCACTGAAGTCAATGACAGTGTCCAAATTGATGCCAATGGACTTTGGATCAGGCTCCTACAGCTTTAGTAAATGTTTAGAAAGCAATCCAAGTCAATTTCTGTAGCTCCTACCTGCTCACTGTTTACTAGTGGTAGGTGCACCTCTACACATTTGTTATGCCATCTATGACCCCTGGTGAACATTTTCCCTTTTGTAATCTTTTTATGATTTATGCTCATCTGCTTTCGTAATTCTAAAGCTACAGAATATGTAAGATACTAGTGGTTGCAAGTTTCGCTACAATGAAATCCATTTAAGAACTTTTATTGGATGGATGAAGCCTACAAATTACCTTTGTGTTTTTATTTTATTTTTTATTTGGGTCTAATTTTTCTGCTTTTAAAATCAAGAATATTTAAAAGAGGAGCAAAAACTGCTAAGAATTTTGTTGATATAAGCAAAAGAACACACAGCAGCCATGTAGAGGCAGGAAGAAAAATCAAAAATACACATGGAAATAAAAATAGATGGGTGTTTCACAATTTTCTTATCAGTAACCCATAGGTGTACTTAGTATTGGTAAAAAAAGAAAAATGGGAAAAATATGATTGATGTACAAATATGCCTTTGTAATCATAACATATTCATGCCAAAGTCCACTTGTACATCTTACATACTGTATGTAAGCTGTTCGTTAATTTAGTAGCTCTAGAGCTATCCAAGGATCAAAATATTTACAGAGAAAAATACCTTAATTAGGGACAAAGAATAATGTATGGAGATCTGGTACTGTACAACAAGTATGGTGAGTACTTTTATCACAAATAAAAATGATAAACATTGGAAGAGGTATATTCATGGTTATGTAGCAATTTTATAGGTTACCTTCCTGCCTTAGCCATATTAATTTCAAGTGGAAAGATTGTATACATGAGGTTTGTCATCCATACCACATGTGTATACCCTAAATTCTAAGGTATCTGAAATAATTTGGTCCTTTTGTTCATCTCAGTGAAATATTTATAGTTAAGCTAAAGTTTTTGGTATCCATTTAAAGGAATACTCTTGCTTTCCCGTTCAAACAAGTGAATCCCATAAACTGATTACCTAAAAAACCCCAAACAACCCCACTTTACTAAGACATCCAGAATTAGTTAGAGTTGGCACAATTTGTTCAATAATTATCCATAATTAAAATACATCTTCCTGTAACAATGGCATGTGATGCTATTTAATTAACTTGGTTCTAATGTTTAAATAAAAGTAATATCATGTGATGTGCTACAGATAGGGGTGTGGCCAAACCTTTACATACGGGGGAATTGCCCCCTCCCAATGATGGTGTACAAGTATTATGCATTTCTACTTTTTTTAAAACCTGGAGATTGATATGGGGGTGGGAGAGAACCTTAACCCCCAGCTTCTCCTTGGCCATGTCCCTGGCTATAGATATTATTTCATAACATGCATATTTTGGAAGTTTATCCTGAGAACACCTTACATATTGATTCAGCTGTATGCAGGAAACTGAAACACTACCAGATTTCAGTGCAAAGCAGAATAGTTCTAAGCTATTTAAGATCACATAAGAAACACAGAGATACAGACAATAAAAAAAAAACAACAACAGCTACAGTGCCTATACACAGCAATACAGAGAAGGATTCTTACCATAAATTGCACATTGTCAAATCCATTAGCCAGCAAGTGGTTCTCATACTGAGGTAGCCCAATATTTTCCAACCATTGTCCCACTGTCTGGACAGGGCATCTGGGTCCTGTAAGGGGGTGAAGAGGGAGGCGTTTAAGCAACGAGTAGCCATCCACTGGATAGTAGCGGTAGTCCTGGGCTGAGAGGTGGCATTGCCACATCATGTTCCTGGAAAAGTTGCTATCAAAGGAGCCCGCCAGCTTGACAGATTAATGATTTCAGCAAGGAAGAAAGTCAGAAGTAAAACATAGTTTACAGGGCAGTCTATAGAGTAAGATCTGATCCTAGCTCAACATTTCTTAGTTATTAATCTTTACTATAGACCATAACGTCATACAGTGGAAAAAAAAAGACATATCAAGCTGTCAGCTAAGCTGTTTGCCGTTATATGTGATTGTTGGAATACTCCACAATGAGCAATGCACTGCCAGCAGCAAGAATTCTTTTTATCAAGTACTCCTACACTCATCAGTATGCAGCTCCATGCTTCTTGCTCCCCCTCGCTCGCTCCCCTTCATTACCCAGCCTAGGCTACACCTCGCATTTTCAATAATAGCCATCAGATAAGGCAGATTTTTTTTGTCTGCAAGCTGTAAGCTTGCTGCTGCTGCTTCCTCCTACACACTCATCCAAGTGTCAATCTTGAATGATGAGAGCAGTCAAAACAAATGCAGAAAATAGAAAGATTCAAAGCAAACTAAAGCTCTTAAATCTGAATCGAATCTTCATACCAGTTACGCATTACCGATCTGTTTGTTGTAGATTTTTTACGTTTCAAAAGACATCAGGAAATGCAAAGCATTAACCATAGTCTATAGCATGGTTTACTACATGTTCTCTTTTAAATACATCATAAATACTGGTCTGTAGATCAACTTACATTATTCTGAAAATAATCATTCCTTTTCTTTAATGAACCAACAACAAATGAATACATTTTAGAATGTTTTTCCTGTAACCCTCCACAGGACATAAACTGCAACAACCTTTTAGTCAAAATAATTAGTTTACTATCTCCAGGATTTTCAACCGTAAAATATTATTAGACACAACAAAACCTTCATTCTAGCCTATTTATGATTCAACATGAAAAGGTTACCATTTCAAATTAACAGTTAAAGGGATATTTTTAGCATAGTAAAATGGAAAGTACAGATCCTTTCTCAAAAAATCAATGTTGAATGATAACAGATATAAGTCTCAATGAAAGGCAAAGAGGTTGTGTATTCTCTCAATATACAAGGGAAAAGTCAAAGACACAAATGATAAATTGGACGCTCAAGAACTACATAATTCAAGTGCTAAGACTTTGGCTTTCCTCCTTTCATAGAACTTTGACCTAACCAGATGCATTATTTAAATCCAATAATTTTTGCCAGTGGGCTAGCTTTCTATTACTTTGGATGACCGTGTTAGGTTTTGTTATAAATTACTTTTACTAAACCTAATATTAAACTAAAATGTTTTCATGGCATACACACACACAAACAAAATCAATGCAAATAGTTTGAATTTAAACATTCCCCTGCAACATTTGCAAACTGAATGTTGCAGCACTTTGCTTACGTATGAGAATCAGAGAGTACGATGAACTAAAGCTCCAACTCAGCATCCAGTGAAGTCAATGGGAAGACTCCCATTGATTACAAAGGGCACCCTCAAACTTCCAGTCCTGAGACAGATATACTGGTGCTAACACCTATGTTCATACAGAGTTGCATTGAAAACAATGGTTCACCTTACTTCCTCTGGCTTTGCACATGAATAACTTTATTGACTCCAAAGATGTTACGGCTGATTCACAACGGTGTAAGTCAGAACAGAGTCAGGAACAGGGGCAATATGCACAGGCATAAGCATTTGAACCAATGCATTAATTTGCCAGATCATGACCAAATCTAATTTCATCATCCAAGCTTAATTAAATGCTAAAGTAAGCTATGCCATGTGTATTAAAAAATTGGTTAGATTTTAACATCTCTGAATTTTAATGGTTAAAGGTGTTGTTAGTTACACAATTCAATAAAAAGTGTGTTTAAACCAATGACTTTTCATTTGACAAGTTTCACTCCTGGACCCATTCAAATTTTCAAGGTACGATATCTCATGCCCTTCCAGAGCTACAAACACAACAGAAAATCCCCTTTCTCTCCATGATATACAGCATTTGCATCTAGCAATAATGATGTCAGACTGATTTATTCTGAACTAGTTTACTCAGAGAAATTTCTTCTGATTTCTTTCTCTAAGATCTCTTTAGCTGGACTCCTGGCACTAATGCTGCTGGGAGAAACACAAAAATAGTACAAACAACAATTTTTATAATTCTTAATAGAAGTCCTGATATTACTGTGAATGTATTTCTCAAAATATATGATAGTAATTGCACTATTGGGCAGGACTAAACTTGATTATTTTAATTTTTGCTGTATTTGTATAGAAATTGCTGGCAAAAATCTTTTTTTTGTCTGTCTTACTTTTTGTGGAAGAAGCAAAACAATAAAATTTAGTTTTTATATTTTGCACACATGTAGTTCTAGTTATGACCTAGGAAACATAAATAAAGGCCTTTGGAGTTCAAGTTATTTAAAGAAATTGTTGTCATTATCCACATGGCCATTATGCAACATTGATACCAATTTTGCAGTGGAAGGTGTACATTAGTGTACTACTTGTGCTCAGGGCACTGCACAAAGGAACCATAGAGAGACTCACACAGACAGTCCATGTCCATTGTGTGTGCTGCCTGGAGTGCTAGAGAGATCTACAGTGGTGCAGGTAGATTTTACAGCTTGTCTCTGGGGTTGCTGCTTTATCTTACACCCTTCAGTTACTGACTTCTGGACATTTGCAAGTCCATAGTTTAGGTTTACTAGGACTTTCTCACTGAGCAGACCCTCTTTTTCACTAGCCATGCCTCATTTTCCCATTACCTGCCTTCTCCTTCTTCTGTAACAGAAGTATTGGCTTGACTACACTAGAAAAGTTGATCAGTTTAACTAAACAGATTTTAAAACTGGCCTAGTTACACTGGTGCAAATCCCTAATCTAGACACACTTAACCCTTGCTCATATCAATTTAAACTAAATTGGTAATTTAATAACACAAACTAAATTGATATAAGTGAGGGTTTAACTGGTTTCAATGTCTCTTCATTAGGGGTTTGCACTACTTTAACTAAATCAATTTTTAAATCAATGTCCTTGAACCAGGGGACTCTCTTAGTATAGATAAAACCTATGACTCATTTTGCAGTACTGCAGAATGTCAAATCAGTGCATCTTTGCCACATCCATCTGTTTCCTGACTATCTTGCACCTCATGACTAATTTACATTGCTCGATATGTTCCTGATCCTGCAACCAGCCCTGTCCAGGTACAGGGTCCACCAAGAGACTTAACTGCTGGACTGAGGTCATCACAGAATTTTGCACTATGTCTTCCTCCTGAAAACTTGTGGAAATATCTCTGGCCCAGATCTATAAAGGGGCTTAAGCATTTAAGTGCCTACTACATCAATGGAACAACATGGTAATCAACAAAGCCTGAGTTAGGTGCCTAGGTTTCCTATACAATGAATTGGGAGAGATGGGAACCTAAGAATAGGATCCACAAAAGGTAGCATGCTAGGCAGGGAACCACCTATATTAGCAAATGGGAGAGGCCAACGAGAGGTGCGTACACTGAGCCCCACCCCATCACAGATATAGGTGCCTAAGTCCAGGCTGCAGGCAGGAGCCTATCTCTGCTAGTGAGTCACACCAGGAAGCCCTCTCCTGGAGCCCGGTGGCTTAGGCACTTAAGTCATTTCTTGTGAAGAGTTAGGCGCCTGCCTCATTCTACACAAATCAGATGAAGGAGGTGGTGCTGGTCATGCCCACCTAATAATTATTAGCTGAGTGGTTAGAGCACTCACCTGGGTTATGGAAGACCAGGGTTCAATTCCCCCTTCTGGTTGATGGGTAGAAAGAATCTGAACAGGCACCACTCAGGAGAGCACCCTAACCACTGAACTATGGGATATTCTGACATGGGATTCACTCAATCTGCCCTGTTCCATTAAGAAGTCCATTAATAAGACTAATTAAAAAGTCACTGGAACAGGAGGACTGGACCTTGAGTCTCCCACCTCCCAGGTGGATGCCTGGTGGAACCACTGGACTGTAGAGTCACGCTCTTGTTCTGGCTCAATTACTTTTTAGTTATTTAATCCAAAGTGGAAGAGCTTTAACAGGAGAGACTGTGGGAGCCCCACGTCAGAATATCCCAAAGCTCAGTGGTTAGAGCACTCTCCTGAGATGTAAAACACCCCTATTCAATTTTTTTTCTCCCTATCAGGCAGAGAGGATAATTGAACCTAGATCGCCCACATCCCAGGTGAGGGCTCTAACCACTGGGCTAAAATGTATAAAGTGGGTAGTGGCGGCTGCTGCTCCTGCTGCAGTTGCCAGATTTTAAACAGAGCCAATCTAGTAGGGGTGATCAGAAGATGCTTAGCAGATTAGGCCACATGGGAGAGAGAGGTGCTCCTCCACCCATCTTCCCCCTGTTTGTGGACTCCTCTGGGGCTTAGGTAGGAGATATGTGGCCAGATCCCTGGAGGGAGGCTGTGGCATGCATGCTTGGAGGCAGAAACATAGGTACCTAGGTAACTTTTATAGCAAAAATTTAGTTGCTGAGCAGGGGTGAAAGTAAAATTGAACTCTTACCAGTACGGGGCCACTCTGGACCCCCTGGAAGGGGCGCGGCTGGAGTCAGCATCCCCCAGCCAGCCCATCTGCGTTGCCTGGCCCGTGCTGCCTGGGGCTACCGTGGCAGTGGCAGCCGGAGCCCTGAGCCCTTTTAAATCGCGGCCCCAGGGCAGCTACTTCTTTTGCCATCCCCGTTGGTGGCCGGGGGGGGAAGGGGCAATGACATTAAAGCGCTGCCATGGCAGCGCTTTAACATCGCTGCCCGTTTTGTGCCCCCCATCGGCAGCACTGTCGGGTCATTGCCACCCCTTTTATGCCCCCACCATCGGCGGCCCTACTGGAAGGGACCTGGCAGGGCTGCCGATGGGGGGCGCA